GCACCCCGTGCCACCAGCGAATATTTACTATGTAAATTCGTATTCGGTAGTGTCTTTCTTCATCCTGTTCATATTTTCGCGCTGGATCTCTGTTTGTTGAAAGAGGCAGAATGGTATGATATTCCCAATCCTTCTGCAGGGTACCACCACGCATTTATATTTCGTCCAATGAAGTCAACAAATTTTAGCTTAAAAATGCCAATCATTTGCTCTAAAGAGTCTGATTAAATTTGCATTGTTCGCAACGCTTTCCTCCTTGAAACCTGATATCTACGCTGGTCATCATTCCCCGTCGTATACCTGTGGTTTTCGGTCGAAAATAAGTGCAAGACGTATTGGCGCTCGAACAAGAAAACTCGTTGCATAACAGGAAGCGGATAGTTTCAAACATGTATGGAATACGTAACACTTAAAACTGGCGAAGCTGAAGACTTCTCAGGAAATGCGAATAATCCGCTCACTCATTCAAGCCTGATATGTGTGATAAAGGGATGAAGTTTTATAGTTTCGGTTATAAGAGGAAGTTCTTCACAATTAGACTTGGTCTGGCAGATAATACACGCTTGGAAATGCACAGTACAGCCGTGCCATCCTTTCGGAAATCGTCAGCAGCGCAGTCCATCTGGTTCCTGTGGGACTAGAACGTGTAACCCAACTGTTACCGGTTCGCGGTGAAGACTACTGGGTTACGGAGGGGGGGGGGCGGAGCGGTAACGACCGTCGCGACCAAGTTACTGTAGCACAGTTTATTATCCACTGACTTGCAAGTTACTGCGTAGCAGAGGACAGGGTAGCCCCCGCACCAAGCCAGAGGTGCGCATTGCGAACGATTCCGGAGAGGCTGAAACGGTTGTACAGTGCTTTTCCGGGCGTGTGATGACCACTTGATTGAGTGCAGATGTAATTAACTTTAAGTATACCATTCCACTTCCCTTCATATGTCATTGTAATGTTGGTTACACGCAACAGCTCAGTACCACAAACGGAAAGTATGTCGCCCGGACAGCAGATGTACCGACTCAGCTATTTAGACCAGACGAGCTGAGCCCAAAGTTAGTGAAACATAGCCACTCTTCGTTGGGTTTTGGGAGAGGATGACCATCGAGCTCAATGGGACTTCTTTAGAGAATAATGAGGCTGAGATAATTTGGCTTCAAATCATCAAAGCGCCTTGTATGAGTGGCTAAGGATGCATTTGGTGGACGCTGATCAGTGTAGCTAGGCGGATCACGGAGGTGTGCTCAGCACGTTGGCACGTTAAGGCGCAGTCTTATCGCAATGGGACACAAATAAGAGTAAGTAGAGTCCTTCCCAACGGCCTAGTAACAAGAACTCATTTTCAGTCGTCAGAAGGCAGAGCAGGGCAAAAGGGCTCAGCCGTTGCAACGACGTGTTCTGTGAGCAAAGCGAACAAAATTGAGGTGTCTAAAAACGTATTAACACCCACAAAACTGGTGGTGGCGAGTACTTTAGGCGTTTATACATTAATATAGTGAAATGGAACATGAAAACGTGGCGTTAAAAAGTTGCCGATGGGGAGGTGATCTCGGACCTCGAGGGCGGCGTTTGGTTAGCTAGCTGCCATCGAACCTGACCCGATGAAGTATACAATGACAAACGACAGAGTAGATTTCACAAATTCGCGGCCAAGTGTGTAGTGGCGCTACGTGTTGCATGCCGGAACTCCGACATAGTGATTGGTTTTGAAAACCTAGACAAAGAAACCGGGAGCACACGAATTCCATTAAATCGCCGCAGGCTAAGTCAAATAAGCAACTCGCTTAGTTCGGGTTTGACGACATAATAGGCCTCCGAGGATTCTGTGCTAGAGAGACACCTGCTTCATGCAGTACACAATACATTTTCGACGTTAAAGACGGCAGCGTACCAAACAGAGATCAAAACCACCGAGAACTGTAGTAATTCTCGTGAAGACGTGGTGTAAGCTTCTGCTCTAAGTAATGGTTACGGCACTTGCTTCAGGCGATGTTTAGAAAGAATGATGAGGCATGAAGACATCGAAACTGAGACCTACAACGGCGCAAAAAAGTTGAGATTAATTCTAGTTGGCATTCGATGTGGCACTAGCAGAAACACCGGAGTGCCAGTGAAAGCCCTGCAGTACAGATGCGACCGGAACGGAATGGGAACAGCTAGGTTAACTAAGCACTTAGACTGGCAATTTGGACATAAGTGATGGCGAAACGTTGATTGGGACCATACTGAATGCCGAGAGAAACAGAGAACTAAGGTAACAATGGAAAGTGACCATAAGAGAGAATGGTCCGGTCGAGTGGAAGTCTGATCTCGCCGTACCTGTCAGAGCCCGGGATATCGTCGAATGAAATACAAAAAGACGAACAAGAGAGATGTGCGACACACTAATATCATAGTCACGCGGTCGATTGTAAGTTGCACACCGTTCGCCATTGTGGCTGCACCAATTCACCGCCGAAGGTATGGAGTTAGGAGTAATTGAAGAACAGGATACTTCAGAGGGATCTGTTATAACAGTGCAGAGTGAATGACACAGGCACATGGGATGGAAGAGGAGGTAGTGGTACAGTCCGGGAGTGGCAGGCGCATAGTCTGGTTAAAGAAGTTATCTTTTGAAGGAAGTACCGTCCATATGGTGGCCTCAGCTCAGTACAATTTATCAACTATGGGCGGAGAGCAGAAGTGTGGTAGGTCCAACTGATCGATATGCACATCCGAAATAATCATGATGACAACAACAAGAACACGAGAGAAATGAACCAATAACTTAAATTATCAGATGGTGGAATTGAGGCAAAGGCGCCACAGATTCCGTGAACGCGTCATACCTGACAAGGTGCCCAGCCACTGATGTAGTCGATTTCGAGGGTCCCATTTGACGAATTTCTCCACACCATTCATTGCCTACCTCACAGGTCCACCCAACCAGGTGCAGTGTTAGAAAACTATGCAGAGGGGCCGAGACTGGTATGTGAAGCACATGGCTGAGCACCGGGCACCTGGATGGAAGAAGAGGCCCAGCGATGACTTGGTCAAGAGAAATGAAGGCCTGCACTTCGAACTTCTCTTCGGTTGGTGTCTCCCCACTACCGGGTTAGGATCCCAAGGATGATGAACACGTCTGTTTGAATACAGTCGTCGACATGGCAAAGAGCTGACCTGAATGGCGTTTGTGCTGTGTGTTTCTATATCTCTTTCCATTCCTCTTATGCCTCAGCAACAAGGATTTCATACTCGATGTACAATAGGATACTAAGTAGTATATTGCTCGTTTGCTGATTTTTATACTGCATTCGGTAATGTTTAGTATCTCACTAGTTCATGTACCTAATGCTTCTGGATTGCGGCACAAGAGCTGAAGTGTTTCTCGCCTTTAGCTAACGTGTACTGATGATAATCACCAAGCCAATGAAGGAAACACCACATCAAGAACGCAGTCGGGGCACTTAGCTAGTGAATGTGTACTTAGCCAGCGGGAGGATGGTTGGATTTATCTCGATTTCAATCGTAGAGCTGGTGACATGAAAACTGAAGTAAACTGAACCAGACTGACTTGGATAGTACCCGTGGTAATGATAAAACCAACAACGATGAAAGAAAATGGAAAAGTTGACCCGAAGTAGAGTTGAGGAGTGCCAAGAGTAAGATAACTGTTGTAGCTAAAGTACTAACGATTAGTATAGGTAAATTTTGGTTCCTGTAATGATAATAAACAAAAAAGAAGAAGCGAACAGAAAGAGCTCAACAAAAGGGCAAAAGGGCGACAATCGCTGAATGATAGGTCCAGGAGAAAGAGGGGATGCAAGACATCTATTGACCCAATGACTGTCATTTTTTAAAAGTTTCTACTAATGGATTTGACTGATCCATACCAAATTGTCGAAGGGACAGTATAGTTTCCAATCAAGCCGTTTGAGTACTTGCTCTATAACTCTGTGATATAATGGACTAGCCATTACAAGATTTCATCCTATTCAATACAGTGATATAGAGATCAAGTGAACCCACACACAATCTCATCTGGTTGGTGGTGGAAATAAGAGTCCATGTGACTGATCTCAGTGTCAACAATCTCGCGAAGTTTTTCGACCTGTGGAGATATGTTGTGTCGTTGACGGGCTACCCAATAGCGTGGTCCAAACAGATGCACACATGGAGAACAATATACGTCGCGTCAGACAATAGGTGGGTATGAGGAGAAGGGGACCTAATAAACGGAGGCAGCTCAGGTTAAGCATGTGTCCCATTAAAAAGATTGTCAAGTGATTGGGGGTGGATTAGATGAAACGGCATAGAGACAAGAGTATGAAAAGGAATGAGAAGGGACACGGAAAGTATATATGATACGTTTCATCTGACAGGGTGTGGTAGAAGAAAACTCATGCTCTACTGACAGAGTCATGATCGCTTAACGGAGACAAACGCTTTGGCTAACGCGTAGCATGGAGTAAGATTCGGGAGGAGCAATCGTTGACCTGGCACTAATGTCCAAAATAACTGAATTTGATCCATCAAGCTATCAATGCCAGCGTGCACGTGACCCACCGCAAGTTTGACTCGAGATATGATTCTCGACTGACATCAGCTATGCGTTGGTAGTCGCTTCTAGTCGGACTGGCCGCCTAAATTATGATGCTGTGTGGTCTGAAGAGAGCGATGACGCGGGTAATGGAGGTTTCTAAGGAAGAGAATATTGACGCTGCGGTCTTACTGTCGCATGACAGCCAGTTGGACGTGATCTTGCGCTATAACAGCGGAGTGTAGGCTCTCAGCGTAATCCTCAGTACTAGGGTTATCGCGATTGACTGGCAGGGAAGTGGCAGTCAAATTATTCATGCATACTTGTTGTTGATGATGGGGACGACGTGATGATCAATCGGGTGCAATGCGGTTGGGTAATGCTTAATAGTTCGACTACACGGACGCATTCGATGCACGCTATACTGTATCCGACAAATGGAACTATTGCAGCATGAATGGGAATGGAATGTTCAAACACTTACACTGTTGACGCGCATCAAATTACCCGGTTCATCTTGACTGTCCACCGATTCAAACCTGTGCATGGCACCCTGGTGAATAAAAAGTATAAAAGCTAATCAATGAAGCCGATCACAACAGTTATTCCAGGGTGGATTAATGGAACTTAGCGGGGTAACCATTCCGTTGAAAATAAATGAATGATGAAAGACTGATAACTAACAGTTCCAACATGTATGGGCGATTGACTGCAAAAACACTCAAGGTATTAGCACACACATAGAAGATACGGAAAGAAGTCATGGCGAAACGACGCGCAGTCCTAAAGTACGCGCCAGCTACGTGTAGACGGAAATCAATTGGATGATGTACCCGACGACCTCGATGGAAAAACAAACAATCAAGAGGTTAGGGAATAGTAGGGGGATGTATTGTGATTTTGAGAGTATGCATTAAAGCTATACAAAGGAAGACAGCCACCACACACTCAGGAAAGCACTAGACGACCGTTTCGTCCCAATGGGACTCACCAGATCCGACAGGACCCAAACCAATGGTTTTATCCTTACGAGTTAGCGACTTGTGCCACTGAGCCCTTGTGACAACGCTAGACTCAAAGAACCATCCGCTGTGTACCTTTAGTAGACATACTTCCCAAATTTTTGCCTCAAGTATAGGTGTATTGAAGGAGCGTGGGTAGACTGTTCCGGTCTTATTCTTTCGGGTTTACACTGGATGTGGATCTGTGGGTGGTGTAACACAAACCCCCCATGACCAATCTGGAGGCGCAGGCGTCCTGTGGCCATTTGTATGCATAATAACAGGAAAAGCTGGAAACGGATGCCGAAAGTCACCGCTAAACTAATGGAAAGCATGACCAAAACCGTGACTAAAAATCTCGCGCCTATGCGTAAACCGTGCCACCTTTCATTGATAATCGGTTCGACTAATCTCCCGTCTGCGTGTAAGCTTGTCAAACCAGCAACGCGGTAGAGGAGTAAAATCCAGTGTACAACTGGTCAATTCTAACAAAGAGAGTAAATCGAAACATCTTCACAGACGACCAAGCGCTGAGGCACAAGGACCGGACATAAATGGCTGTTCAAACTACGTGCGTCGGATAGATATGCCAAGGTTCCAATGACTCAGATAGAGTGCCGAAAACCAGGTGATGAACAATTAGAACGCAATCATTCCCGGTGTTGTCTGCTGTCCGGGAAGGCGGCGATCAGAGTTGAAAGAATATGTAAGTGTCGATGAGGATCTTGACCGAACAAAGATGTATCATTCAACCATAAAGATGTCTGACAGTTTCATCCTGGCAGTTGAGTCCAGGAGTGGTTGAACAAGCAGATTGGGCGGGGACTGATGACCAAGGTACGTTACGATACCGGTTGCGTATATACCTTGTGCTCCACCGTCAAGGAACTGTCGTGCCGTAAGTAACATGCGCCAGTTATAGTCCAAACAGAAGGCAGCGCTAATGAGTGCACTGAAGAGAGCTGAATGGAACTGATCGATAATATGCATGATTTTTTAACAAGCAAATCGAAATATGAGGACTGCTACCCAGATATCTGACCCCGATGTGAAAATGCGGTCAGGCCATGTCAAACGTCGCCAATTGCGACATCACATAGATTCAACTGATGGGTCGGTAGAGAGACGAACAAAATCCAGCCAGTCACAACAGCACGCGTGGGAGCACGTCGACAGATGGACTTTATGGTGCCGGGTGTATTGACTGATGGGCAATCCATGTAGATCCAGATGTTCTCGGCAGCTCGTTGTGAGCAAACCAAGCGCGAATGAGCGTGGGTCTGTTTGAGAAGTACCGAATAATCATGTTTGGCTCAAAGACCTAGTCAGCTCGCACTGAAGACATTAAATGTCTAGTCCTGTTTGAGTACCAGTGATTGCGGAGTACTGCTCACATCTGGTGGGAACACCGACTGAGGAATGTTAATGTCCGTCAACTGAATTTTGGCAAGAAACATTACAGTGCTTCACTCGAGTGTTTACTGAATCTTAACCGCTTTCGTTGACTAGGTCATGTCCTTCGTATGCCCGTTGACCGTGTTACACGGTGTGCATAATATGCCGTCACTGTACCAAGTTGGGAGAAATCCTGAGGTGACTAGTTGATGACGTGGCATAAAGATATGAGAAAACTGACCGAGAGACTTGGTTAGGCAGGCTCAATCTGTCTTCGTGAATGGGGGCCCAGGGATGGTCCACATCAGTGGTTGGAGACTCCATCAGAAATGGCGCAGTTGCGCAGTCAGCGGCGCTCCTGCATTAAGTCTCTTGCATTTGGCCGTTGATAGTCACTCCATCATGATTAGTTCTACGCGCTTCTTTCGCAACTCTTTTTTCCTTATATATCATTCGTACTCTGAGTAACTTTTCAACACTGCTATTTGTTATTATGATGGATTCATCGCACTTCGGTGATCGGGTCATATTTGTTTAATTGAGCTGGACGGAACCCAAATAATTGTCGGTTCGTTGAACACAATGGTTGGTAACTTTTACACCGGGCGCCATATGGTCGGTAAAGCGTGTACAATGTTGCTAAAATGCATTTCGTAATGGTCTGTCACCGAGGCTGAAGTCAGGAGTCGTTAGTGTCCAACAAACAGCTTGTGGTACAACCAGTTCTGGATACAGGAAGACGCGTTTCTTTATGGAAGGGCCATAGGTGACCTTCGCTGTGTGCAGGTGCTACATATCAAATGAAAACCTGGGACGGTGATGCTGAGCAGTGAGTTAGAGGGAAGCATAACAGCTCTCGAGCCATTATAAATAATTAGTGTATTTTTCGGCAGCGCAAGACACAGACCGAGTACATGGTCTGGCCACTCTGTAAAACATAATCGGATAGTGGAGAAAGTTGTTCGGGTTTTTCAAAGTAATTCCCAAAGGAGCTATTGGGGTGTTCTATCAGTTGAAATAACAAAAAGACGGAGAAGTTAAGGATAGAAATAAATATACGTATAACCAGCAGTTCAAGTAAAGCAATACGACCACCCGTGGAATTGCCTCCACGTACATGCCACGTGGAGTAGCTCCGGGGTCACAACAGACTCCATTGTTTGGTCAACGTGCACCGAGGACTGCATTCGCATTTTGCGAGCAACCAAGCAGTGCGATATGGGAGCCCGTTGGATTTCCAATTAAGTAAAGGAGGCGGAAGACCTACCAGATGAACGCGTTGGAGTACCGTGGTAGCGCTAACCAGCAGCCTCCTTGAGCTAACAGTTAAAATGACAAACTCAGGTGTGAAGGAATCTATCCAACCATCGTGGGAAGCACAGCTACGTTTAGCACATGGGGTAACGGAAAGAGTAAAACACGAAACGAAAATGGTAGAGACATTCAAGTACCGCTCGACCTCACGGATGAGACGTCAACTGAGCTGAACGCCTGGGTTCCAAATGAAAGGTGATCTGGAGATAATATGGCAATGGAGTGTGTGGATGAATGGTGGTTCGCAATACACAGTTCCATACAAGAACTCCACCTACGAATTGGAGGCATGACTGCTTCAGAGCCGAAATACACGCACACAACACTCGTGTCAACGATGCGAATTAGGGAGAATGTGTGAATGAGATATACTCAAGGCAGTGGCCGGGCTGTTACTCATCCCATGATGCATCCGTTCGCTGAGCCTAGCGCGGACACGAACGCTGTATACGCCGTCTCCCCAAGCAATAACTAGCGGTATACCGGAGATGGTAATCAACATGGCAGGCAGGTGCCTAGTCAGCATTCGCATCAATCGCAGCTAGGCTTGGTATAGCAAAACGTAAATGATGTCATGGATGTGGAAACACGGTTCCAGTCTATCGGTAAACGCCAACTTGCGACGGTGAGGCACGGCTTTTGCCGCGTCAGCCTCAGCACCGGAATGCATGGTAAGATGGATCAAGTCTAGTGCCAGAGACGTGCCGTGAAATTTTGTGAGCACTAAACATGCAGTAACGTTTGAAAGATGTAGCAAAAACAACCAGTACTCAGAGGGTTCCAAGAAAAATAAGATGAAGTCGATCAGGGTTAAATAATGCGTAGGCTAAATAGCAGAGATGGTCGGATCAGAAGAAAAAGAAACTGGGTTCATTTTGAGGTCATGCGAACTTTAAGGTTAATAAGACCATTCTATTCTCGCACGTATGGCTTTCGGTAAAAATCACATAACGGCACTGGCAAACGTCCGTAGAGTTCATTACAGCACATTGCGGTGACCAATGAAGTGGTCAGGAGTTTAGTAAGACGGCAGGTGGCGCAGGAGTCACCGAAAGTGGGCAGTGTATGAACTCTTATGAATGGTATGAAAAACGGAAAATAATGCGCAATCAACTATTTCAACGAGCGGCTAATCAGTCATGAGAAACAATAACAACTGACAACCGTATGTCATATAGAAACAACACGTACGTTGACCACAGTTCGCTCACTTTCCGCGGAAGACTGGGTGCTTCATGGAGAGAAAATGGGAGAAACGGAGGAAAATGTGGTCATTACACTTGCTTAACTAGTGGAATGGATCAGAAAGAATAAGTGACTGTTGCAATTTCAAAGTCGGGGTAGCTGGAGACCTAGTGGCTGTTGCTGGAAGTACTGGTGTGAAGGCGTCTCAGCGATTCCGACGTAAGTAGGACGAAACAACTTTTGAGATAGCCGCGCGAGCTGATAAACGTCAAGTAAACTTTCAAGACTACTAAGATGAGGACACATCAATTATGTACGAAGCTCAATTGAAAAAGCACGAGCATTTAAGTCAATGATCTAGCGTTTCGATCAAGAGGAAATGTTTGAACGAGTGCTGGCATGAAGGCAGCCACCGTGAAGTTTGATAGTCAAGGAGCATTTGATATGTGATTAAAACGTAATGCGTGAGAAGCCACAAGTACAATTAGAGGTCGCTGAACCTACTTGGTGATCAATGGAAGGAAAATGAAAATATATGATGGTCCCACCAAATGAGCGATAACGATGCGAGGACAATAAGTTCATTCAAATAGGCCCTACTAGGCTTTTGTATGTAGCTTGGCGGGTACTGTCTGGTTGCAGTCACGTGCGAATGATACAGATAACAGCGCAAAGAAATCTTAATGGATGCAATACCATCGATGATCAGTAAAATTTTAGTTGTTCGCAAAAGCACAACACTTGGTCGCAAGAACGTGTAGCCATTTCATACAGCACGCAAGCATAGGCAAGTGAAGTCCTCCAATAGGTGCATGATGGTGAACTCCACTGAGTGCAAACGCAGCACCAAGGTGCAACTAAAAGGGAAACACTTTGCCGCCTAAAATGCACTTCATGAAGCTTCTGGGGGCAGTCAGTATAAACCGAAGAGTTAGTAAACAATCACATGTTAAGTAGAAATCATGTGTGCGGTGTTACGACCTATACCAGAATCGCAATGGATGGTTACCGTGAGCCCTGTCACAACGTCTTGAATTCCAAACCGGGAAGTCGAAGGCGTTCCATCACGGTAAAATTTGAGTTTAACGTCTTGAGCGTAAAAGACGCGCATTGGCCGATTCCCAACCGCTCCAAGCCACCATTAGGATATGTTAAAAAACATGACCAAGTAACGGCTGAGAAATTTTATGAAGTACGTGCGCAAGCCACCGAAACTTATCCAGCGAAATTATGTAGTTCTGCGATCTGATCGACGTAAAAATCAGTTGAGAAACACCCCTATTACTGATGCGACGAGTCTAACGTACACAAGCAGTGCTCTGAAAAAAGTGAGAGAGAGAGAGAGAGTTTGTAGGCATCCCTTGCGTGAATGAGCCAGGTTTTGCTACTGTAGAGCAGACTCGCCCATTCCGTAGTATTGATGGCTTACCCGTTCAAAAAGTTTAGTTGATTTGCTCTGCTCTTCCTCGACCGTGCAGCTAGAATCGGTTGCACACTGGCCAGGGCAGGAGCGGGAACTCGAACCTGGGGTGCAGAGATGGTTAGTTAGATGGCTGAACCACCATGTCAAAAAACTCTCAAGGAAACAAATGCAATCACGATTCGACCAATCAACACCTCCTCTGAGTTGTTGAATCGGTTGTGTCTATCGAGTTTAATTTTTCACACCAGGTCCGTCTTTCCGTTGAACCTCAAAGTGGGAAACGGTGTGGAGATTCACTCAGACGTTTTCTGCATCGACGGAAGGATTGATGTGCCTCATGTGGGTTCGAAACATGGTTTGCCCAGCAGACCAACACTGATTCCAGCCAATTTACAGAACTATACTTTGAAAAGGTGAATCGTCGAGCTTGAGCGCACAGTTGCTTTGTTATTGATCGGTTTCAGTCAGGAGGTGTTTGATGTCGGAAAAGCAGTTCTATCCGAACTGCGAAAACAGGGCTGTAAAAAACGCAGCTGCTTTACGAGAAAAGCAACTGCTCTTGATCCGATCTACTACGGTAACAAATGGTGACTGGAAGAAAAATAACGATCAGCTGTGTTGGGTAATCAGATTCGTCCCAAGTCCCATTTGAATCATTAATGATGAGTGAGAGAAAATCCACTGGTCATGGGTCCATAAAAGCGTATTCTTGTCAGACGAGTAGAACGCATTAAATGCGGTACAATTCGCAAGCATGTCGAGGTGGAAAAAATTTGGATGCACATTCAGGGACAGCTGCGTTGGTCACCAAACTATAAAAAGTCCGGCGAAAGCCAGGAAGAAAAACAACACAGCAAGTTCGTCAGAAAATTAACATGCGCAGTATTGGGTATGAGCGAAACGGCATGTGGATAATCATTGTGGCCCAAACTGCAGTCGTCACGGAGAAAATAAATAGATCATTTATCCACGGGGTGCGCAGGACGTTAAAGAGCACTAGAGAAGATAATGTGGCTAAACGATAAGGCAGGCTAGTAAAGCAGAACGCACTACGTGGTACAAATAAACCGATTTTGTCTTGGTCCGAGTTAGCCCAGGACAACAATTTCACGCGTCTGACTTGCTGCACTTGCGCCATCCTTTTTGGTGCCGGTGCCCCGGGAGTAACCAATCCTACGTACAACCGCAGGCGGCTACGTGGCCGGGAATAATCAGCACATAGTATTAAGGGACAGTTGACATATCTAATGGAGAGTGGGTAAACAGAGAGCAGGAGCAGCATCAGGAGCAACAAAGCTAATCCAACAGCTGCAGACTCTAGGATATTGATGCATGAACCAGGCAATGTAGCAACCAAATCAGGTTAATATGAAACCACGGGAATTCTTGCGTGACCAACCTATGCTATGAAAGGGTAACCCATCGCAATGATACTGAAACTTAACGTGGTGTGATGGTTCGCATGCCTCAGCGATTCATTGAGCTATGCTGGGTGGTGCATTTTTACACCCTCAGAGCCCCTCATACCAGACTGGTCAAGAGTTAGAGGTCAGACAAACTCACTCTCATGGCCTTGTAGGTTGGGGCTTGGAGTGAGGGTGGCTCCTTACTCCATAAAATGGGCTCTCTGTAGTCCAATGCCAAAACCCCGCTGCCTTGCGGTAAGGTTTTGGAACCAAAGGCTTTGGTTGAGAAAATTAATCATTCTCCTGTCTAGGCATGCGCAACCTGACAGTATCCTGCACACGCAAACCTGATGCTCTATCCACTGCAGAGGATAATCAACTGTGTCCTACCTGCTGCATAGAGCAAGGTGGATAGGGGTTTGTATGCTACTGCTCCAGCCTTCATCTTCGTACTCCTCCTCTGGTGCTTTTTCACCACTATCGTCCAGTTCAAACTGCACTTTTATCCTTTCGTTTTCAACCCCCCAATTCTTCCCCCTCCCCCGCCATGCTTTGACAGGCGTTTAATTTCAACTAACATGCAAATGCGGAGCGTCACTCTTGCCCCATTGACAAGCCCATGTCTAACTAAGCGGTCAAGCCCAATTCATCGCCTTGTATTTGGAACTGCCGATCCTTCCTCAGATTGGCATGCCACAATGTATGCACATTGTTAAAGATCAGTCAACAGGCAGCATTTGCCCGAACATTAGAGACCCCCTCGATCGATATCTGTTGCTTATCGGAAACCCGCCTTCATGACCAGAGCTCTGTACTCACTCTGCGATCCTCTTCAGGTGACACTAGCAATGCTTTCTCATTGCGCCTATGCGGAAACAATGCAGCTTCGAGTACCGGCCAAGTCGGTGTTGGTATTACCCTGAGTCTCCAGGCTGAAGGTGTCTGGTTGCTTGAATCTTAATCAGTAGCCGGATGCGTCCGGTCCCATTGGCTGGCTCTTTCAAAGCTATGAAATCGCGCGGGACTAATAGGTGTCTATTCGTCATCGTTGTCTACATGCCCACAAATTCTAGCGATGGTTCGGTAAAAACAACTCCTACCGCCAACTGACCCAGCTCCTTCGCCACAGAAGAAGCACGGACACTGTAGTGCTTGCTGGGATTTGAACGCTCAAGTTGGGAAATTGTTCACTGATGAGCTGCATCTGGGCAGCCAACATGGTGTAGGCTCCCGCAATGATAACGGTGAGCGGTTACTGCATTTGTGTGAAGACGCTCACTTATTTTTTACGAGCACTAACTTTCGACACAGCACCTGTCTGGAAGATGACGTAGCGCCCACCAGTCTCGAACCAGCCATGGACGCAAATCGATCACATCGCGATCAGTTATCCCTGGAGAGGCTGCGTCCAAAATTGTCGCTCAATTTGGAGCACATGTGTAGACACCCACCATGCACCTGTATGTGCTAATTTGCGGGTGAGTTTTGGCGGTCGCTTTCGACAACCCTGTGAGCCCATAGACACCAGCCAACTGGCAAAGCCAGGTGTCCTGAATGTGTATCGAAGTATGCTGGTGTTCGGATTGAGCAAGCGCTCACCGAATACAGTTGAAGGTCACTGGTCGCATGTTCACCAGACCTTACTAGAAGCAGGTAAATCATGTGGTAAATCCACTGGCCAAAATAGACATTCGGTCTCTTCGCAGTCTCTGGAACTTATCGATGCTCCCCGGCACATTCCGGCTGGAAGCGAACACAAAGAGACTAGAAAAGACATTAAGGCAAAACTCCGTGCTAGATTGAAGAGAGATCACGAATCCAGATAGTCTCATCGTGCATCAGAGACGGAAGTGGCCGCTACCTTTGGTAACCATCGGAAGTTGTTACTGATTTACACGAATTACTAATGAAACTGTGGGAGGAGGAAATTGACCCAACCGACTGGAGCCGCTCCGTTATCGTCCTGATCTTCAAAAGAGGCTCGCGTTAGGGATGCGGCAACCATAGAGGAATCAGTATGATCCCCATCACCTCCAAATTGCTTGCCTCTGTCATCCTTCACAAACTGACTGGCGATCGTAAAAGCCAGGTTTCGTTTTGGTTGTGGCCACATCGACTACAGATCCACATTACCTTAGTTGCTGGAATACCGTCACATATATTGGCGGTCAACTGTTGTCATGATTCTCGACATCAAAAGTGCTTACGATTCAGTGG